GCACTGCAGCTCCAATCCATCCTGCCTTATAAATTCACCACGGACTCACAGTGACAGGTTCTGGCAAGCTATACGAGTGCTGTGTGCAGAGAGTGCATGTGCCTGTGAATAACTCGGCTGGTGTAAGTATGCAAGTGTATGTGTGTGTTTGCGTGTGTGCGAACCACATGATTTCCTGTTTTCATTCCATTCTGATATTCCACATGTGTGTGTTGCAGGGTCCTGGTTGTCATTACAGCATGTATGTTTTTTGTGAGGCATTAAGTGTAATTGTAGAGTGTGGTGGGAAAATATGCAGAGAGGTGTATCAAGTGAGGGGGGGGATTGGAACGAAGGGGTGATGGAGGGAAATAAAGTAAGTGAAGGAGGGAGGGAGATGAAGTTAGATTAAAGAAATTGTGGGGAGGGGAGAGATTGAGGAAACAAGCAGTTGGTAACGTGGTTGAAGAGAAGGAAGAGGAAGAGACAAAGACAGAAAGGGAGAGGAGGAAGCTAATTTAAAAAGAAAACATGACAGCAATGCAGCCAAGTGTAGTGAGCTGAAAATAGAACATGTTTGTTTCTTCTCTTTTGAATGGCAAACGAACAAAGAATAGTATTGCAGCTTAAACCTTTTTAATCCGTAAACATGTGTCTGTTAATCAAGTAGTCGTTTAACAGAAAGTGACATCCTTTCTCAATTAAATCTTTAAGACCTGCAACTTTCTGCAGCTTAGGGACACTTGGAAATAATCTTATAGTGGCTGTAAAGTTCTCTAAATAATGACTCAGTAAATAAGTAGTCTCAGCTTGCTAAACCTGCCATTTTCCAAACTGTTGTTCGCTTACTCTTTAGCAGGGTCTTTATTTTTGGTAACCTCTGCAAAACGGTTTCAGCCAGAGCCAAATGAAAGTACCCAACACTACACTGCATTTTGTTAACTACCGCCACGAATAGGGGTTCAGCATAGAGAGAGAGATATTTGTTCATCAAATGATCGGAAATAAGATTCTGCCACATATGTTATCAGACTTGTTGCCTTTGCGGTAGGTGGACAGATGCTTACATGCATAAGAACGATGCACAAGTCGTTTATGGAAGCTGTGACACTTTTGACTGTTTAATAGTTGAACAATTAGAAAACTGTGAATTGCATCTGATGAATACGACACATTAATCCGGCAGGAACTCATCAGCTGTTGCAGTCAACCTTGACACAGTATTATAGTAAAAGCCCCCAAAATCATCATGGAAATGGCTTAATGGAGCTGCATTGTGTAACTAGAAGTATTTATGTTTAAAATCAGAGTCAGAGTCGACCTGTGTCCTTGATTTTACTGACACAAAGGTCTGCAGTCAGTCAAGGTCAGCATTTTCACATTCATCCCTGCACTTTCCTAAATGGAGACTGTTTTCAAAGAGCTCGGCTTTCAAATGCCAGGGGGCCAAAATGTGTTTTTAGCTTGCTTAGTGAGGGCATATTTAAGAGACTCCTCTGCTCTGCTCTTCTTGAAGTCTTTTTCAGTTTTCCTTTTAGTTGAGGTTTCTTTTTTTTCGAGGAGTGAAGTTTTTCCCTTTTTTCATTGAAGAGTTTAAAGACAGACGATGCTGAATGCTGTACATGTTAGTGAGCTACATAAATAAACTGAAGGAAGGACTAAGATAAGGAGAAAATGACGATATAAGAGGCTGTAAGAGAAAGGAATGAGCAAAGAGAGGTGGGGAAGGAAGCTTGAAGGGTAGATGAGCGAGTCTCAGAGGGGGAAAAGAGATTTGGAAAGCTTTTGGATGAGATCATGGGAAGTAAAGATCTGTGTGTTTAATATGAGGCTTAACAGGGCTCGGCCTGGGCCCGCCTATTCTTTATAAAGGCGTACACACACACACACAGTTCAGCATAGACCCCTCCTTTCTTTTTCTTTTTATGACTGGTTCTGTGATTGCAGATCCTGCTGACTACACACACACGCAGCTGCACCTGTCCCTGACACGGCTCAGCAGGAAGAGGCGTGGCCTTTCCTGCTGATTCTGCCTGCATTTAAAATACTTGAGCACCATGACAACACTGGTCACAGTTTCACCTCACTGCTTTCTCTTATCAGTGTTTTTATACTCAGAAAGTGAAGTAAGCGCTCTGCCTAAGTTCCTCTTCTACACTTGTTATGATATTTGCACTTAGCACAGCATCCGATCTGATCAAGGGAAGAGTGGCAAGAGTCTTTGTCTCAGAGGGATGAAATCCTGCTTAGAGCAATATGCACACAAAAAATGCTGTAACTGCAAAAAATCAAGAATAAAACCCTGACTGAGCTCTAAAATAAAGAAAATCACTGTATATTGTACAGTATATACTATGCATCCATTTATCAGTGCACTGCTCAAAGGAATATTCAGCCACACACATTCATGCATTTGTATCTTGCCTAAAGTTATTCTACATGCTGACTGTAGAAGTCAGGAATCAAACAACTGGCTATTTAAATGAGTAGATAATCTGCTTATTATGCATGCCTTAACATTAGACTCACTTTCACCACTCTACCAGTTTTACAGAGGAGTTTGATTTACTTGTTTAAGTACACTAGATGGGTCTGGGGGTTAGTGGAAAAATAAATCATGCCATCAGCATTATCTCAGATTGGTGTTGAGACTTCAATTACTTAACGGGGACCTTGTGTTATAAACAGGCGGTGCAGTGTTACTCTGTTTCTTCTGCAGTCTGAAGTGTTATCTGCATGGCTGTCTAGTTTAACTGTTTGCTGTGAATGATCGTGGATGGAAAAAATAAGACGAGTGTTGGAAAATGCGTTACAGTCTTTGCATATTTAAGAAAACAAAGGCAAAAAAATAGGAATGAGGAAGCCTTTGATCCTAAACTGATTTCTTCAATTAAGTGGCTTGGCCTTCTTTGCCATTTCTTTGATGGTGCTCTGCAAACATTTGAAGTAACAGGTAACAGCAAATTATTACTTGCATTCAGGTCACCATCTTTTCAAAATGCGTTTGATATAAAATTGCACGCAGTGCTTTTTTGAAGCACTTGTAGATGCCAAGTTTGCCTGAGCATATTCATTGCTGTCTGTTTTGTTCCATGTCGGCTACTTAAGGTTAATTTGAATAGAGGAGTGTGTTTGGTTTAATGAGAGGGAGTGTTTGGGTAGAGGACAGACTGTCAGTGTGGTGCCACTGTTACGTCCCTGACTCATTTCCCTCTGAAGTGCCACGTTTGAATCACGCCCAGGGCTGTAATTATTCTTTGTAAGGCTCATTATGGTTGCAGGGAAACATACTGTCTGTGTCTGTGCAGCAAACCAGCTGTTCCAAGTGAACTCAAAGATCGCTAACAGTTCAGCTGCTGCAGCCACATAAGCTGGCTGTAGCTATAGATGATTAAAGATGTATGAATATTAGCAGGTATGTAGGAAGCAAGGGTTTCTGTTTTTAATATTGTCCTAAGTAACATGACAGTACAGCATCACAGTACGGTTTGGTCTGTCTAATATTTGGCTCCAAATTAATTTTTAAAAGTTCAGTATAATAAGGTTTGATTTTATTTCATCTTAGCGAACAGTATGTGCTGGGACTTTGTAGTAGAGTGTTAATTCTAATTACTTCAAGTGTGTTTAGTTTATTTTTCCAATATTTAAATATGATAACATTTACAGAGGTTCATGCTGTATGTTTGGTCAGCATTACAGTCGCGTGGCTCAGTTTTTCACTGGTCTGCATACTCACGTCAGAGCTTTCTAATTATGTCCTTACTGCTTCTATATTAATTAGGAGGGTAAGAAGCTATCAAGTGCTTCTAATCAAATGCTTTTGATTATTAACGGATCATCAGCAAGTGTGACCGCTTTGGATACAAGCAGATGTTTTAGCAGTTTGCTGGTCTGAAGCAAATTCATGCCAATGTCAAGATGCAAATAAACAGCAAAAAGCCCAAGAGCTATGTGGCAGACATTGACATTTACCATGCTAACTGAGGTCTGCAAAGTTCTGGACTGTACGGTTAGAGAAACATGAATGTGTATGGTTTTTTTGGAGGTTTGCCAAGAGAAAGCCATCCCCTTCTCGTTTACGTTTGCAAAGTTGCATGTGAACAGACCACTCCTGGAACAGTGTCCTTTGGATATACAAGCCCAAGATGGAGATATTTGGCCTGAATGTACAGTGCCACATTGATGAAAGTCAAACACAGCATATCAGCACAAACATCTCATACCAACTGTCAAACACAGTGGTGATCATTTAGGGTGGTTTTACAGCCACGGGACTTCAGCCCCAGCAGTCATTGAGTCAACTCTGTGTACCAAAGAATTCTAGAGCCAAATGTGAGCTCTGTCCAGCAGCTAAAGCTTGGATGAAACTGGGTCATGCAACAGGATGATCTTATGTACACTACATCGTAATGGCTGAAAAAGAAAAGAATCAAGGGACTCAAAACTCAACCTGAATGATGTAGCAGGAACTTATGAGACCTGTGCATAAACAAATGCCCACAAACCTCAATGAACTGAAGGAATGTTGTAAAAAAGAGTGGGCCCAAATTCCTCCACAATGACGAGAGAGACTGATAAAGTCATACAATAAATGATCCCTTCAAGTTACTGCTGCTAAAACAAGCTGCTCCATAGTTTTCCACAGCATTGTAGCTACAACTTCCCAAATTCAGAATCTTCTGATTTTAGGGATCTCTGAACATATAACAAGCAGAACTAGTCCAGGTTTCTTTAAGAATAATTTTCGGCAGCTATGCCATTTTTAAATTGCCCAACAAATGTTTTTTGAAAATACAAAGTGCACAACGGGATAGCTCAAGTGATGAGCCCATTATCAAATCATTTACAAGTTATATGGCGCCCTCTAGTGGTGGTACTTCAAGCATTAGCTCATAGAAGGGATTCCTCACAGAGAAAATAAGTCGTTTAAAATGATTTAAACACAAAGTCATTCAGTCTGTCTGTATCTGTAGTGCTGTCCGTGGTGGATAATTGGGTTCTTCGTGCATTTGTGTTTTTAGTGAAGGAGGAGTGTGCATCAGAGGAAGAAGAGGAGGTGGAGAAGGATGCTCTAGTGGAGGAGATTCTCCAGCAGGGAGACACAGCCATCATCTATCCTGAAGCCCCCGAGGACGAGCAGAGTCCAACAGAGACGGGAGGAGCCGATGAAAACGGTAACACGCCAACATCACATATTATACTGAATGTCATGATGCAGATGTTCAGGTATTACTATTGCTGTGTCGAAATTTCAAATTCTTTGATGTCAAGCACTACAAATTTCCAGCTTCTTCCTGCTCAGCATTCTGGAGTTCATAGCATGCTATACTCAGCTTAGTACTCACCTCAGAAGTGAGCAGTAAATAAGAGGGATTGTGAATTGTTTGAAAAGCTGACAGGTAAACTAGTTGTTGGGGTGGATAACAAACGGCTGTATTTTCAGAGCTTTTATTTCAAACACTGAAGATCTCAGAACACATTTTCTTGATAATGGACCTCTGAGGTTATAATAAAAGATCCAATCAGAAAAGTGAGATATTGTCACACAAATCTGCCATTTACAGTAGAGACACTAAGGTTCAAACTCCAAAGTATAACCACTAAACTCAAGTGTTGAGTGCTCCACTAGCAGCTGGTGAAGTTGAGGATAAAGTTGAGATAGCACAGGTCAAAGAACATTACTTACTTGGAGGAAGCTCTGAATGTTCTGGAGCATGAGAAAGGCATAAATGCTGAAATAATAACAGTAGCTGGCTTGTTATAGCTTTAAGGAAGATTTAAGGGCAAAGACAATAGTAAAACTTATACAGTCTAGAGAGGTTTTATGAAGAGCAGGTTATTCTCAGGCCTTCATACAGAGAGTGGGGAAACTATGTTGTTTATATCCAAAATATTTAGCTTATGTGTTGGACTTCCCTTCATCCAGCTGGCTAGTTACTGTATGGAGAGTTGTGGATGCTGGAGTTAAGGAAATGAGCTAACCAACATCAGAAAGGTATAGGAGGAGGAGGAGCTGTTAGACTGTCCGACATGCTCTTCATATGAAGTGTAAGAAAAAAAAATGAAGCATCATCTATCATCCACGTTTCCCTTTTTCTTCCACCACAGGAACACCTGATTCTTTTTCCCAGTTGCACACTTGCCCCTACTGCTCCCGGGGCTACAAACGCAACGCCTCACTGAAGGAACACATCAAGTATCGCCACGAGACCAGTGAGGATAACTACAGCTGCTCGCACTGCAGCTACACCTTTACCTATCGCTCGCAGCTGGAGAGGCACATGAGCCACCACAGGGGCTCCAGAGAGCAGGTAACACCTCTTAGCATGAGAACCGAAGACGCAATGCGCCAAACTAAGAGCGAAATCAGGTCTGATACGTGAAACTGTTACCCAGACTCAAATCTCTGCCTCAGGATCACTAGGATGAACATTTTGTCATGTTGTTCAACTTTAATTCACTGATATTTCTTTTTCGGTTTTAAAATTTTGTGCACTTTGATTTATTATGCATGAGATTCGGTCTGTTATGTAAGCAAAAACACGTCCCCAGTGCTCCTTTCAAACCTTCGAGCTACAGTTTTCAAAAATGTTAAAGCTTTTACACAGAATTCCTATGAAATATTCATCTGATATTAAAAGAACTGAACGACACAGAAAAATAATAGAGACCTTCTTCTTTTCTGACTCAGCGTCACGTTTCGCAGTCAACAGGAGGATCGGTAGGAACAGGTGGAACTCGCAAGTTCAAGTGTACCGAGTGTTCCAAGGCCTTCAAATACAAACACCACCTGAAGGAGCACCTGCGCATTCACAGCGGTGAGCTGCTGCACACATGCACAGTCTGCTACAACCTGTGTAGCTGTTCCAAACTGCAGGCCTCTAATCATCGAACATTTGTCTGCAATTACTGCATTTACAACTGACTAATAATTTTCATTAAATGTACACATTAACCGACTGAAAATTTTAGGTTGTTTTTTTCGTTCGTGTATTTAATTGGCACCGTGTATGTTAATCGACACCAGATTTCAGGTGTTCCATTAAAGCTGGTTAATATAGAGCATTTCCTTAGTGCACTTGGTAAGCTATGTCAATAACATAAGGCCTGGATGCCAGAATTGGCTCAGAATGGGCTGCTGGACGGCTTTGGAAAATATGTAGGAGGACAAACAAGTTTTACAGCTTTCCCTGCTGATAAAGTTCCCCCACAGCCATATATACTACAAAGAAAATATTTAAGTAAGAGTTAAACAGTTAAATTACAGAAAAATTTAGTTAAAAAAAAAGACCATTTTCATCAATCAACCAAATCTTTATGTTTTATAAATACAGGACAGCCTGGGCAGTGAATTTCATTATGTAGAAAAACTGAGAAGTGGTGTTAAAATTGCACTTCTTTATCTTATATTAAGATATCTCAGGGGTTACATGTGTAGTTAAACGTCTTTACATTGACAGAAAGTGACGTTTCACTCGTCCGGCCCACTTAAGATCAGAGTGGGCTGTGTGTGGGCCTCGATGAGTTTGGCATCCCTGCTGTAGACACACTAATGCAGTTTGTCCAAATATGACATCATGAGGCCTCTAGTGCAAAATTGGTCAGTACATTTTTTTTAATAAAGTCTCATAAAAGTGCTTGTTTTATCAGTCGGGGCTTTAAAGCTTTTTTGGATCTGTGCTGCTGTTTAAACGCTTTTTTTTACCCCATCCCTGTTTCTTCAAAAGGGAACATAGGAATGTGTTTTGATGAATTGATCTAGTTAAATGAAGGTTGCACTGACCTACTGCATCATCTTTTGCTACAGATTGGTAATGGGTGTCCACTTCAGTTGCCATACCAAACGAAGTTTAAATGCCCTGCTTTCCTTAAAGAAGGAAGTTAATACCCTTTACATATAACAAGTATTTTTAAATGGTTTTATTGCCGGAGTGACCAAACTCTGTTTTTCTGCTGTAATGAATCAATTTGTCAATTCTGTAAGTTGGGCTCAGTATCAAATCCCAACACTTTTCAAAATAAGTTACTAAAAAATTTGAATTGTTTTTGGTTTTTCATGTTTCGAATCTTCTCTTTGAAAGTTTTGTCATTTCTCTCTCGCTCTCTGATACTTTTAGGTGAGAAACCATACGAATGCTCAAACTGCAAGAAGCGGTTCTCCCACTCAGGCTCCTACAGCTCCCACATCAGTAGCAAAAAGTGTGTGGGTGCTACGCCCCCCAACGGTGTTGCTCGAACATCGATTAAGTCCCCCCCAGCCCCTGCACAGACGAGACCTGTTGTGATCGCTCCAGCTCGTGTGGTTCTTAAAGACAAGACTGAAAGCAAACCCCTCCAGGAGCAGCTGCCTGTCACCCAGATCAAATCAGAACCTGTGGAAATTGAGTGCAAGCCTGTGACGGCGGCACCGGCAACTTCAGCCGGCAGTAACGGCGTGGTGAACGGAGGAACAGCACAGCCGACTGTGGTCCCAGCTGCAACCCTGCCTCAGGGTGTGGCTATGGTTGTTCCAACAGTAGGTCTGATGTCGCCCATCAGTATCAATCTTAATGACTTGCAGAATGTGCTCAAGGTGGCGATGGATGGAAATGTGCTCAGGCAGGTGCTGGGTTCAGCCAATGGGGTGGTGACGCAGGGGAAGCAGGGAATTGTGGTCCAGCAGCCGCAGCAACAGATCATCAGCCTTCCTGCCTTCGTGGATCACGACGGTACCACCAAGATCATCATCAACTACAGCATTAGCCCTGCTGCTGCCACAACTGCCACCGCCCAGCCTACACCGCTTGTTGTCAAAAATAACCCTACTCTGCCTCCCACTATCACGACTGTGGCCGCTGCAGCTCCCACAACAACTAAACCCCAAACCCAAGAGGCGGCCGACCTTACGATTATCAAGAAAGAACCGGAAACAGTCCCCATCGCAGATGTGGAGAAGGAGGCATCCACGCAGACAGAAAAGGCAACCGATAAAACTTCAGAAGCAGCTCAGAAGCCAAAGCCCAACAGCACCAGTACATGTTTACTTTGCGATGACTGTCCTGACAATCTGGAGGCGCTGCATCTCCTCCAGCATCGCAAAGCAGCCAACGGAGAGGCCGTCGACTCTGCTGCTTTGGACCCGTCTTTCGCCGCCTTGCTAAACGAGGCAGGGGTGACCCTGGAGGAGCCGCCTGTCGTCGATCTCCTCTCACTTCTTAAGACATACTTTGCCTCCAACGCCAATCCCAGTGATGAGGAGCTGACAAAGATCTCAGAGTCTGTCAGTATCCCAGTGGATGTGGTTAGAAAGTGGTTTATGAAGATGAACTCGGGGAAAAGTGTGAGCAAGCGCCACAATGATGCAACCGCAGTTTCTAAAGACACTGAAGCCACAAATTCCAGCTCAGAGGTCACTGTGAATCAGAATGAAAAGGAAGAAGAAGACAATACAATCAAGGAGGTATCCAACAAAGCCTCGTCAGACTCTCGCAGCGCCTCCCCATCAGACTCTGAATCACTCAACAACGAGGACCTTGTCATCGTTAAAAGTGAACCAGAAGACCCGGAAGCTTCTGACTCCCAGGCGGAACCTCTGGACCTCTCTCTTCCTAAACAGATCGCAACAGAATCGGAAAACAAAATGACTACACCTCCCGCCAAGCAGCAAGAACAGCCTCTGAACTTGACCTGCTTAAGGAAGGAGGAGCTCGAGGGTCGAACCATCTATGTGACCACACCTCAGACCGGAAGACCTGTTAACATCGTCACTGCCGCACAGCTTCCTACCTTAGTTGCCATCGCTGGTCAGGGCTGCCTCAACACCACCACGAAGCGCACCATCCTCATCCCCCAGCTCACATATACCTACGCCACTACAGCTGGCAATGCCACTGGAGCAAAGACTGTTGTTCTCAATGGTCATAAGGTTAGTAATGCAAAACAGTTACTTCTTATACCTTTTTTATTTATACAATGTGATTATTTTTTCTTATTATAAAGGTTTTATATCTTTTATTTGATCACTGTGATCACCAGTCACCAGAAACTAGCAACTCAAATGAATGGATTTGAATTAATTTGCTTGTGCTGAATAACTGAGAAAGAACTGAAACTCACATTATGAAAGTACTTTGAGAGCGAGACATAGCTGCTTGTGTAGTCTGTCATCCAACATCAGAATAAATGGGAAGCTGATCATTGCGGCGAGTGATAACCATGTTATATGTAAAAAAAGTTAGCATGAAGTTTCTAATTAGAGCTCTGTTTGATTCCCTAAAGTGAATGGTTGTCATGCACGCCTACTTTGAAGTACTGAAGCAAAGAGTATGTCTCTATTTGTACCGAGACAAATTCAGTACCTGGAGAGTCGACTATACATAAGTCTTAATTACAAAAAACCCCAAAAACACTGAAGTGGAAGAGGTATAAAAACCTTGTTGTTGCAGCTTGCAGTTTTTATTGGTTAGTTAGTTCTTCAAATTTCTATACGACTTTCCCAGAGCCTAACTTGACACTGCACTATTTGTTTTATGTAACTAAAATTTTCCCCTTTAACTGGAAATTTAAGAAAAGGAGAAAATTCTCACTTTTGACCAGTCCAGAATTGATTATTGCAATGACTATTTCTTTTTTTAATCAAGTTTCTTTGCAGGGAGTGAGGGTTGTTTCCTTTTACACTGAAACAAACTACTTACAAACTAAGCATCTATAGATTACTGGAAAGACTAACATGCTACCTTTAGGTGCATTTTGCTGTGGAAAGTACCAGCGTTAACCCAAAATAAAAAGCATCCTGTTAGTGTCAGTCCTTCAACACAAAAAAACTGAAGAAATGTGCGTCAAGAGAAATAGAAAATTCCAAAAGCCTGAGACATGCTGAGTTCAGCAGTCAAAGTGAGAATCGGTAGTCAAGCCACAAAGCAGTCATGAAAGTCTGCAAGAAGCCGTTATATGCTATATAAGAAACAGCACCAAACATTAGTTACTTGAGCTGGAGCCAGTCAGAGTCAGAATGTACCAGACATCGTTAGCATTGCGGTTGCCACTTACGATGACCTGGAGTCATTATTTTACCAGTAATGACTCATTAGTTTTTAGGTAATTCTCTGATTCCATTAACTTGAACTGTTCATATCTACTTCACCAATACCATTAGCTCAGTTTCAATCGATGGCAGTAGCCCCGTGAACTCATTAAACATTTCAATAACATCCTGTCCTGATTACATGTGATGACTTTGTAGAACACCCAAACTGCCTTTGAGTAATACGATATCCTCAAACCAAATTTACTTAAACATGAAACCTCGTGTCTGTGGAGCTGCTGATAGAAACCATCTGGACAGTGCACCGCAGCATGAATTTCATCAGTAGATGTGGGTCGAACTATCCAGTTCAGTTCAGTTTTATTTATATAGCACCAAATCACAACACCAGTCGCTTCAAGGCACTTTATTTTGTAAGGTAAAGACGCTAATATAATAGACAGAAAATGTCCAAAATCAAACGACCCCCTGTGAGTGAGCACATGGCAACAGTGGAGGGGATAAACTCCCTTTTAAGAGGAAAAATCTCCAACAGAACCACGCTCAGGGCCAAGCAGCCATTGACTTAAATTAGCAAAGGGGAGACAGCTCAGTTAATCCAGCATTAGTTAATCTATATCTTTAAACCTTAATGTTTATCCAGATGATTGAGTTAGGGGGGACGAGTTCTTATGAAGGGAAAAACTATCCAAAGAGCTCAAATACGAGGCTGTTATATGTGCAGGGCTGTAAACATGCATTTTAAATGTGAGTCTTAAGGTATCGACTTGCTTTTGCAGCCAGCCTATAGTGTCACCTAGAGGATTTTTTATGTTTGCACTCGGGTCTTAGCTTCACATTTTCACCCATGATTGTTGCTGCTTAATTCTCAGTAAGTTAGAGTATTCACACTAGGAGAATTATCTACCTCTAAAGTGAAGAGCTTCACTGCAGGCTCTCAGGAAAACATTTTCAAGAACAACTCAGTCAAAGAATGAGCTCTTCACATACCTGTCACACAATATTTATGGTGAAACTAGCTTTCCTGAAGGGTAGGATGGGAGAGTAAATAATGTGACTCCGACATACTGTAATTCTGTTTACAACAGGAGAAGCGTTTGGAGAGCAGCTCCGAGGGTGTTTCCACAGTGGAGGAGCAGAACGACTCAGATTCAGCCGTGGCGATGAAGAAGCGGCGGCTAGAAAATGGCGTCTACCCCTGTGATCTTTGTTCCAAGGTCTTCCAGAAGGGCAGCTCCCTGCTCAGGCACAAATATGAACACACAGGTACGTCTTGTTTAAGTGAATTTTTCAGCTTTAGTCTATTAAGCAGGATTTCTGTTACTTCTCAAAAGAGTTCTACTTTTGAAGGCTGTGTTTTTAAGTGTGACATCATCCCTCGTTAACTACGCGGTACTCTGAGACTTTTATGGGACACCTGGCCTGTAAATGTCCCAGTTGTCATCAGTGCTTATAGACACGTAACTCGTGCGGTGAATTAAAAAGGATATTTTCCTAGTAGCTCCAGGTAGCATCATATTGGCAGTGGTTTTATTCAAATCTGTTAGCGGTTATCTTTACTCTGCACTACTGTGTTTTGGTTCAGCCTTGACATCCACTTTAAAAAAAGGAAAGAAAAGAGAAAGAAAGAAAGAAAACATCCTTATCCTTCAAATTGGCCCTACCCTTATAACATATGAGCTTTGTTAGTGAGATTTTCTTTTGGCAGGGGATGTTAAAAACTATTAAATGCTATACTCTAAAGACACTTTAAAGTCTGTTTCATAAAAGCCTCTGATAATGTGTGGCTTTGATCATTTTGTATGGGTATGTCAGCAATTACTTTTCCAGGTGCTGAGAGTTCTGAATACTTAAAACAAACATTGGCTCCCAAGCTTTTTTTGCTTGTTAACAATTTAAACTTCTGATTCCCTGATTTGAGCAAATTAAAAATATATATATATTTGTGTAATTCTCCCAATGGATTGTAAAGTATCGGGTTATTTTTTCTTAGTTAATTGTTTTGCCTTTAGGCGTTTTGTTGTATTTCCAAAATGCTTTTGCTAGAACAAACTCCAACTGATATTTAGTATAATATGGCTCCCAATGAAGAAATGCTAGAAATTATCACATTTTTGGAACTGGCGCTAGTAAATCTTAAAGTTAAACATTCAGTTGTTTGGGAAATAAAGCAGCAGTTTCTGTCTGTTTTTAATTTAAAGGTACAATGCATATAATTAACATGAGCCCTTAGGTTCATCATGTAAATTAACTAGATTTAGTCATGCATGTTAATCTTTATCTGTAGTGCATCTGGAGATTGATGGCAGTGACAGCCGCTGCCAGCAGCTGTCTGCTCCCCTCACTGCAGAGTACCTTTAATGCATCTGGGTTTGTGTTAAAGAGACCTGTGATTTGGCTGCAGTCTTATTTACCTGTCCAGTGTAAACCTCAGATAGGCCTGCACTGCTGCTGGTACAAGGACAGAGACAGAATCGTAACTCATTTAAGCTACCTTAGTCAGGCACAATAAGTCATCAAATATGACGTGAGCAACTGAGGGAACAGTGAAGTGGTGGCCAAGAATGCACAAACAAACTTGTGTGAAATCTTTGTTGTTATATTCATGCTGACAAAGAGACAGATGTTTAGCTACGGTAACAAATCTCTATTCTGTATCACCTAATTATTATAGTTACAAACGCATTCATTTATTTATGCTATTTTAATTATATTTATGTAATATTTGAATTGTTCAAACCTGCTTATGTTTATTTGAATGAACACGCAAGCTTGATTGATGGCAGGGCATGTTTATTTATATAGTGCATTTCATTACAAGTATAAAAGCGTGCCACAAGCAGTGAAACAACAAAATAATAAATAATAATAAAACAAATCAAACCAAAATAAGGAACACTTGCTTTGAATATTTTTTTCTATACTCTGTTACACTTAATGCAGGCAAAGAAGCACAGTTCCTCTCTAACGCGCTCTGGTTTCATCTGCAGGAAAACGACCCCACGAGTGCAACGTCTGCAAGAAGGCTTTCAAACACAAACACCACCTGATCGAACACTCGAGGCTGCACTCCGGTGAGAAACCTTACCAGTGCGACAAGTGCGGGAAGCGTTTCTCTCACTCAGGCTCGTACTCCCAGCATATGAATCACCGTTACTCCTATTGCAAGAAGGACGGGCCAAACTCGGGCTCCGGCTCAGGGCCACCCAGGGATCAGTCAGAGCTCGGCAGCCCAAGCGGCAGGCTGCAGTCAGACAGCCGGACCACGACCCCGCCCTCCCAAATGGACTCAGACGAGAGGGAGAGTGAGGAAGAGGAAGACGAGGCCATCTGCATGGACGACATACGGGTGGTGCAGGTGGACGACGGCGAGTGCGAGATCTATGAGGGTAACTTTGACGACGATGATGAGGAGGAAGAGGGAGAGGAATTAGCAGAGGAAGAGGCGACAGCAGAAGAAGAAGAGACTGAACAAGAGAAGGAGCAGGAGGAGTTTGCCTGTGACGTAGTAGAAGTGGAGCTGGGAGATGACCACGTGGAGGACGCCGAGATGGAGGAAAGAACCGAAGAAAAGGAGGAATCAGCAAGTGTGGATGCAGAGAAAGCGGCAGACTGTGAAGTCAATACAGACAGCAGCATCAGGGACGGGACAGGAAACACCGAAACAACAGAGGAAGCGGTGACAGACACCAAATGAAGGAAGAAAATTCTTCGGGACAGTTTTGAGTGTGTCGGTCATTGAAGTCGGGTAATCTTAGACAAAAACCACATCTTGCCATCAGAAGAAAGTCACGGCAGTTGCCTGATCTTAACGGTCCACTACTGTGTACAAAAACCCAGGTGTGCCTGAACTTGAAAAAAGAAAAAAAGAAATAGAAAAAAAGAAAAAACGTGACTTTTTCTTTGTGAAAATGAAATATCAGTGTTTAAAATTGTTTATAGAAGTACAGATTTTAAAGTAGAACTCACCCATCAACTCATTAGACTTGTTACTGAGACATCCCAGGTTGCTTTGTTTTTTCTTTTCATTCAATCAGTGTTAACTAATCGTGTTCTTGTTTGAAAACCTTTTAACCTTTAAAGATGAGAAAGATTTCTATACCTTTTTATTGCCAATGAAGTTTCCTAAAATCAGTATTTTATTGAGTTCTACGAACAAAAACCTCTGCACTACAGTATTCCTGGTTTACCTATGGATACATGCCTCATGCATTGTATGCCCTTCAGTGTTATATATGTACACTAGCTAGCGAAATGTTGTTTGTGTTAGTGTTACTCTTTGCTAGCTAGCATTACTGTTGATTTCAGTTTGACTGTTAGCCTTAAGGAAAACAAAGTATTCTTGGGGAGGGTTGGGGGGTGGGATGGGGAGTCCGGGATGAGAATGCGGCTTCTGTACGCCATAACCAAATTTGTCCTATCAGGGAAGGCAGAGTCACAACCTCAAAGCCAGCATGGCGCGCCTTTGTTTTGCTGCTCAGCACTGCCCGAACGGGTGGAGTCTCCAGGTGAAGACATAAAAGCAGACTCCGACCTCGTGGCTCGGCTGTGGATCCAAAACAGACGCGCCTGTTCTTACCAAGCTTCTCCTTATTTTGGTTGACTTTAGTTCTCAGCGAGTGTTTCAGTATTATCGGCTTATATATGAAGTCAAACTGTACGTGAAGGATCGGGGCTTTTTTTCCTGCTCCACCCCAATGCCTCCAGCCTTATGCAAGACCTGTGTGCTGTTAAAAGTGCCATTGAACAGTGTTATTTTTTTTCCTCACACATGTAGCCAGTATTATGTCCCTCTGTTACTTACACAGGAGCCATGTTGACTAATGTTTGTTGACTTGCACAGAACAGCAGATTTGTCACAGCAACAAAGAAGGACACTTGAGAAACAGTATTTGGGCTGTTTTGTCTGTAAAAAGACAGACCCCTTGTCCAAATAGCCCACTTGGGGGTGACGTCTTATTTTATTTTATCTGCCAAACTAAAAGCTAGAATTATTTAGTTTACAATGATTGTTTTTCAAAAAGACAAGTTAAAGCCAGAGAATGTTTAGCACTTTTCTATCAGTAAATTAAATCTACAGGCATGTCTAAAAGTTCTGCTTTTGTTCCTGGTACTTAAAATTGCATATTTGCTCTTGACTAAAACTTTTTTGTTATGAATTACTAACTCATCAGTATCCAATGGCTGCAGCTTGTAGGTCCAAAGTCTGAGGTTTAGAGCAGTGTTTTTAAAATGCCTTCTAATGTAAGATAATCAGTTTCCAACTTTCGAACTGCATAAATCCAAATTTTTAAGAACCCCTCAACACTCAAACTCAGTAATGTGCCTCACCAGGTCGGCTCAGGAAGAGATAAACCAGACCAAACCCACAAAAGTTTAAAGTATAAAACAATGATAGAGAGACTCAGTAAGTTAGTCTCACTTGTGCACTTATTATTTTCAGATGACGATTAAAAGAAACAAATTCATTGTGGCAAGCTGTCCCGCACTTGAGGTAACAAGCGTTAGTGAATGTGGTTTCTGTTGAAGAGTTTTGCTTTGGTTTTACCAGACAGTGTTTATAGTATTAATCTGTTTTACTTTTTTTTGTTTTAAAAGTATGTCCTCTGTATGTTTTTGTCAACAATGGCAGTATTAGAACCCTTTTCACAGATTAAAAAAAATATACCTGTTTAGTTTTTAGAAGACTTTTTTATATTTATGTGTCTTATTTTTATATTTTCTTTTATGGTTATTTATTACACATTGTAGTGTACATTACTGTAGTTTGAATTGATACAATAATATATTTTAGTATGAAAAATAATCTCGAGACAAACAAACAAAAAAAAATCCCAAAATGTGGTTCTGGGAAATGAAGTTTGTTTTAACAAAAAATGAAAAAAAGAAAGACATTAAAGGAAAAAAACCCCTAAAAATATAAAACATGTATTCTGTAAACTTGACTTCTGTTTTAAGCTAAAAAGAAAAAGAAAAAAAAAAAACAGGAATGAAGTGACAAATAGAAACTGTTACATGTGCATCCGCTCTTTGCGTCGTTATAAAGCTACTGAATTCTAAAACTTTTTAAAAGCATGAGTCGTCGCCGTTTAAATGAAGGATCTTGTTATGAAGACGTTACTCCTCCCCTTTTTAAATTTCTTTTTATTTTGAAGCCAAATTTCCAACGTCCCGTCACCCTGTTTTCCGTTCTGTGCCAACTTGTTCCATTGTACTGTTGAAGGCTGCATATTGTTTGTCCTCTCCGCACCCTTTGTAAATCCACTGTCTTTTTGTATTGTTTTTATTTTAGGTTTGCTCCATTTCTATGACTCCCCATCACAATAAAATGTAAGACAGCAATTCAAACTGACTGGATTGTTTTGTTAGTCATCTGATGGAAATTTTCTGTAAGGTCGTTTCCTCAGGTTTCAGTAACACCGGAGGTCTTTCCATCTATAAATATATCAAAAAAGAAAAAAAATGCAAAGTGCAAATATTTCTATGAATATTTATATAAATATATGAATATAAGTCGTGTGTTTATCAAGCAGCTACTGAGATGATCTGAACAGTAAAAGAGACAACAGACTTCCCTCATAATGATGAAAAAGAAAACTTTTTTCATGTACATTAAAAGGTGAGAATTTAATATTTCAGTATATCAGTGTTATTCAAACTTTTTTTGTAGAATATGAATCAAAATAAGGGACTGAACACATAAGCTCAGCAGAAAAGTCTGCTGAAGCATTAAGATAAGACAAGAAAGCCCTTTTCCCATAGACTTCGATTGAACGGAAATGTTTTTTGCAGCCACATCTATCGCCATCTGCTGGCCTTCAGATAGGATGCAGGTTCAAGGCTTCTGACCTGGAAGCTTCATCCATATTGTAATACTGTATAGTAGAAGCACAAAATCATGCCTGATATATTTTGAGGAATGGTATGAGTGGGAAAAGTCCAAAAATGACACTCCATTACTTTATGTATGCAAGAGGACTTAAAGCTTCTTAAATCTTCTTTTACACACATGTTATCAATCCACATCAGAGTTTATAGTTCAGCTGCAAGAACTCAATCAACTCATTACAGACTCAGGTATCTAACGACTTGATAGACAGTAAAATGCTGAGCATACGAATAATCTTGGAGTAAAGAAGACATTCAGAATTTATTCACATACCGCTGTAATCAATCACATGTAACTGGGATAATAAGTAAGCCACTTATACAAGTGTGGATGCTTTAAACTTCACTGTCATCTAACCTAAAAGTGGTAGTAGAAGACATCCTGTAACTTTTGAATTGAGCTATCTGCAAAGAGATGTTTTAATGTATAACGTATGGAAAACAAAAAAAGTAATGTAATAGTTTTTGGCACCGATTCAAAACAGAGTAAAATACTAAAAATGAGAGTTTTTTCTGTTTTGTTTGGATATCCTAAATCTAAATGAAGACGTATCACCAGGTGGCGCTGTGAGACCAGGAAACATTTTTACAATGCCAGAAAGCCCACAGGGCTGCAGACCACAATATCTCCTGAGATCAGCCATTCATAAACTATTGAGTTATGAGCCATTATTATTAAAAATCATCATGTGTCCTTTGAGTGGTAAGAAGAATTGCAATCTATGAGTATGAATCCATGCAATCTAGCAATTATCTTACTCACCCATGAGCAAATGACAGATTATATGCATGGCTGGTTCCAGCTTTAATGTACAATTAGAGGGGAAATATGCAGTGGGGATTATGAGGACGCAAAGCAACAAAAAGAGTTTTCTAACAGCATTTTGAAAGCTTGAAGAGGATGATTAGACAGCATATAAGCAGCTGTTATTAGGCAAACCTCCCCCAGTATCCAGGTTATTATGAAAATAAACACTAATAATAGACTTTTACTCCAAGTGTGCACTTTTAGTTATAAATGGAGTTAATCAAGCTTTTATAAATATTCGTGACACAGCCGATTGTTGCTCTTACTGTAGTTCAGTTGCTGTGTGGATCATGAGGGGAGTCAAAACTCAGCAGCAGTTGTTTTATATTCAGAGTCCATTTTTTGTAGGAACTAGTGATTTCACATCAGACATGACATAACAACAGAGAGGGGGGATGCAAGATGGAAGTTGATATGGTGAAGCAACCTTGTGATTAAATCTGATGCTTGCTTTTTGCTTTGTGTTTTTTTTTTTTTGTAAGCTTGTTTGCAAATGGAAACATAATCAGCCTGACATATAGACGAGTTTCCTGGGTTTGGGTTGTCAGGATTTGGAAACACATACAGTGTTTACATACACATACATACACATACCTTATTATTACCAAGGATTTCAGCAGTTTAGTGAACCAGAGGTTTGATTTGGTACCCTATACCAGGGGTGTCTAATCCAGGCCTCAAAGGCCAGTGTCCTGCAGGTTTTAGACGTGTCCTCGATCCAACACAGCTGATCTAAATGGCTAAATTACCTCCTCAAAATGTTTTGCAGTTCTTCAGAGGCCTGGTAATGAACTAATTATTTGATTCAGGTGTGTTGACCCAGGGTGATATCTAACACCTGCAGGGCACCGGCCCTTGAGGTAGACACCCCTGTCCTATACTGTTGTGTTATAGGCACTGTGTGTTGTCATATTTCTCTTTCTTTGTGCTCATTAATGCCACTTTAATGCATGTCTGATTTAGTTTAATTAATTTTTATTAAGACTTTGCCTTTTTTGTTGTTGTTTCTTCTTCAATCATTTTGTATCTCTGGTTGTTTTTATTCATTTCCAACAGTTAGCATGAAGCATTTCAGATCTCTCTGAAGCCGTTTTTCATCCTTTTGTCGTTATTTTCCTCAGTTTTTTGTTGATTCACACCTTTTCTTTTTTTAGGTTGTTTGTGCATTAGCATCACTTTTTTAACGTGTCTGTGTGTGTTTCTCTCTTTGGTTAAGTCCATCACTTTTTGTCTTTGTAGTTTTGCATCTTGTTGTGGTTATTTTATGTCACTTCTGGTTGCTTGCTGCAATTTTATAAACATTTTGAAATGTCTTTACAAGCCCAAATTCAGATAAGCTGCACACATCCATGCACCAATCAATCATCAGGTACACAGAAGGCATTTTGTATTAGTCAGAGGTAACAGCTGCCGTTACATTAAATTACAACCAGTAGGTGGCAGTAGAGGACTTGCCTGCCGTGGTTGGTTTATAGTTCTGGTTTGTTAAAAATCAGTGAGGGCAATAGCGGAACAAAAGCTAAAATGTTTTTCATCTTAAGGGAAAATTGCTGCCTTAGAGGTCAATGAGGTAAGCCTGATACTTGTATATGTTTAATCTCATGTCAGACTGAGCCTTTTAACTCCTATTAGGATAGATGAGTATTAAATCTTGAGGGCTAAAAATTATTTCAATTTTTTGTGCAACAATCTGCTTCTTCCTCACTCTACTTCCACCAGGCTGTTTATCTTAAAACCAAACAAAATGTTTACTGATATCTTTTTTCATGTGTGCACACTTTTCTTTCTTCGGTGTTGCTTTGTCACATGCAGACAGATATTTTTGTTTTTTTTTCCAATTTTTATCAACAAGCACTGAAAATAACGAGAATCCTATTTAAAACTCTTGAGTCACTCCTCATTTCTTTGGATTTTGCTCTAAAAACAGACTTTAAGTTATCATGGGCTATAGTTTAATTGAATGATGAATGTTTATTAAGCTGCTTAACAATTTTACTTTTAGCAAACCATAAAAGAGCCACTTAAGAGATGACCCAGTGTTGTGTCCACAGATAATGCAACACTGTTAACATACAGCTTAGCAAAAAAAACCAAAAACCAATTCTAATTATGTCTTTAGGCGCTGCTACTTGCAGCCTGCCACCAAAACATCCAATATATTCCCATTTCTTTGGCTGAATCTGCAACAAATGCCAAAGATAACACAGTTTGACAGGCATGAAATAATATATTTGCACAAACAAGGTGATTCCCAGCTATTAGCTGAAAATGTGTCATCTCTCAGAATGATGTGCAGTGTATCCCTCTAAAAAAAAAAGAAGAAGAAGAAACCAAACAAGTGAAGGGAAAAGGAAGAAATGGTGGCTCTAAAAACTCCCTACAATCGATGAAGATTACCTGAGAGTCATGTCCCAAAGTAACAAGACGAAATAAAAGCAAATTCCTGACAAATCCATCTCCAGTTTATCCATCTGCTGTTCACTGAAGCTTCTTCAGAAATGTCTCAGTGGAAGAGTGGCTGTCAAAAAGCCACTCTTCAGGAAGGGAAACTGGGGAGAAAAGGCTGAGGTATGCCAGATTACACAAGAACTGGACTGATTTTCAGTAATTAATCCAAATTTAAAATGTTTGATCAGATTCTCATCAATGTTTATGTAGGAGATCAGGAGAGAGGTACAACAGTGAGGGTCTACAGTCACTGGTAAAACACAGTGGAGTCTCAAAGTCATGGTTTGGAGTGGTGTTGCCTGTGATGTTGGGGAAAATGTATGCGATTCTGAAAGTAGAAAAGCTTTGTCAGATTTTGATCGACCATGCAATACCATCTGAAAAACGTCTGACTGATAACTGCTTTATTTTTAAGCATGCCGATGATCTCAGACACACTGTGAAAAGGCATAGTTAGATACCCAGATAGTTAGAGCCCAGATTTCGACATAATTGAAGCAGTGTGGGATCATCTTGACAGAGAACAGAACAAAAGAAGGCCAACATCCAAAGAAGAGCTTTGAATATCCTTCAACAAGCCTAATGCACTATTCTTGAAGACTACTTGGATAAATTGCAAAAAGCTTGCCTAAGAGAGCTCAGGCTGAGTTGAAGAATAAAGGCGGTCATACCAAATACTCATTTTCATCCTTTTACAAATTGTTTTTGTCTTATATGTATTGTATTTCCATGAATGTTTCCATATGTTTTAAATAAATTGCTGCACATATTTTCAATTTTCCTAGCAAAATATTAGGTAATTAATGACTTTAGCGCAGTATTGTAGCTACATATACATATGTTACCTTTTGAGATGCGTCTTTGCCATCACCTTCTTACTCAGGAGGTCTGACTTTAGGTCCCGAGTGATTAAATGCCAGCAGTTTTTATGCTGGCTTAATGTTAGAGAATACCAAATGAAGCCAGTTCTGGTTAATATCACATAAAGGTAAAACATTTGGGGTTGTTATTGTGGTATGTGTTGTTAGTAGCTTGTATGGTTACCATCAGCATAATGTTTACTTGTATGAAAACACACAACCACTGAACAAAGTATAAACACAGTTTTAGCATTTGTAACAAGCTGCTTGAAAGTCAAATGAAAATTCATAAAGTTTTGATGGTTTTGTGCACAGACCTCTGCTGCCAGAGACATGTTGCCCCTGAGCAATATGGTAGTGATATCATTGCAGTGACAAGCATCGACCAGTGTGCTATCTACGTGTTTATCACTGAGGGAAGAAGATCAAAATGCACTCACGGCCCAAAAACTAATGTTCCCTGCTGCACGTCTACACTGCAAATGAAATTTCTGAATGTCTTGACCCTGTAAGGTATTCTGTGAAATTTCAATTTTTATTCATAGAAAATGTGGTTGGCAGGCAAAAAGTAAAAGTTAAGTTTAGGAAAAAAAAAAAGAGTGAGCTGAGAGTGTAGTGCTTCAGTACGCATGTGCGATCGCTAATAGTTTTTAATTAGCTCTCCTTCAACTTTGTGCTCTTAGAACTGAATTATGCTTGTGTATTGGACGCTGCTGTGCAGGTCCACCACATACTGTAATAAATAATCAGATATTTTAATGGGATAATGGTGACATACAACTGTAGGTTACTCAGTGCTTTAAGCGTCGTTGAATATCGATAATCTATGAAGTAAAAGAGATTAATTTGTCTTTGGGCATTTGTTGTGCAGTAAGTAACACATCTCTTCTCACACAGATGTTCAGCAGCAACAACATATTCAGCTCATCTACAAACCAAACGAGTCGGTGGCTGCCGGAGCGCAACAAAGCCCAAACAACGTCAGAGCTGTAATAACCGGTAGTAATTAAAGCTCATTTCACGCTGCTGCAGTTTGTGATGCTGCGCACACCGGGCTATTTGTCAAAATTAGCTCAAAAGCAGAGAAGCACATCACACCTGTCAATCAATGAGCAACCTTTCTGGCTGCCCTGATGCTGACGAAGGCTGTGGTGCTGAAATAAGTTGATGACTGATGGAGCTGTTTTTTTTAATGACAAACCTGACGCACTCCACTTTAAAAACACTCCACCTTGAGAATTAAATCCACGAAGAATACAGGAACTATTAAAAGATTAAAGGAAAAATACAAGTGCAGGCGCGTTTCCAGCATTTCCAACCTCTTCTTCAGTTACTTTCTCAAAAAAAAGATCAGTAGCATGTGCTGAATACAGGAACTTCATTTAGCGGACTGCATGCTCAGTGCTTTCATGATAGAACAGCTGGGAACTTTAAGCTTAATGTATTGTCTTTGAGTTGGTCATGATCGGTACTCTAAACAACTGTTAAATGTGTAAAAATGAATGGGATCAAGCAATTTCCTGCACTGATGCGAATAAAACCAGAGCTTATAGCTGTTCTATAGAAATTAAAACTCTTATTTTGTCCTTGTGTTTTCATTTCAATACAAAACCATAATAATTGCTCCAACCAATCCATAAAAATGGAAAATTGGAATTTTAACAGAACGACAGTGAAGAGATCGTGCATTCCAGAGCAGCTGCTTTTCGTTTCAGTCATTCTTTTCATTTAACAAAAAAATAAAAAGGAAGATACTATATTTTTGTCACCATCAGAAATCCTGTTATTCAGCTTTTAACTCTTGTTATAATACAAACTGCAATAAAGACTTGATGGATGATTGATGAAGTGAAATATGACTAATTGCTGCATGGCTTTCAAATGAAAGTCTTTAAATTGGTGAAATTATTCACGGTGATGAATGCAGATGCGGTTTCAGTCTCGGGAGGTGACGGCAGACAGATGGAGGAGAATCCATCAGAAGTAAATGAAAGCTATTCATGTGGCAAGCTCATATGAGTGGGAGATCTGCAACCTTTATGTTTCTTACAATATAATACATAACGGGGGGAGGCTTAAAAAAGGCGAAAGCTTGAAATTCGCACAGTACATACTCTACATCTCATCATTTTGCGTTCATTTATGTTCAGAGCAGTCTCTCGCCCAC